TAACCAGCAATTGCATTTCCTGGTGATCAGTGTGTCACTGGACACGGCTGATCATGTGGTATAAGGCAGCTGTGATTGGCCTTTTACCACATCACGTGATCAGCTGTGTCCGTAGAACTCAGTGATTGCAGAGATCACCGGGTGCGTGCCCCAGGGGGGGCGCGTGCAGGAGAGCGTGTTCTGGGAGGACGTCCTCCCAAAACTGGCCGTGAAGCTGTCATTCAGCTATCTGCGGTCAGCAAGTGTTTAAAAGTGGTATACTCATTTATGCTGAGCACTGTAGATCGATCTATCTATCTATCTACAGTATATATATATACAGTTGTGTTCAAAATAATAGCAGTGTGTTGAATAAAAGTGAATAAAACTCAAAATCCTTCTAATAGCTTTTATTTCCATACACACAAATGCATTGGAAACACTACACATTCTATTCCAAATCAAAACATGAAGAAAAATATATCAAATTTGTGTTGTTCATCTAAAAAAATTGAAGAAAAGTGCATATTAGACTGTTCAAAAAAATAGCAGTGTTTGTATTCTTTTTTACAAACTCAAACATTCACTATATAAACTGAAAAATGTTTGAAGATTTTGCTTTCCTTTGAATCACTTAATATTTAGTTGTATAAGCACTGTTTCTGAGAACTGCTGTACATCTGTGTTGCATGGAGTCAACCAACCTCTGGCACCTGTGAACAGGTATTCCAGCCCAGGATGATTGGACTACATTCCACAGTTCTTCTCTATTTCTTGGTTTTGCTTCAGAAACTACATTTTTGATGTCACCGCACAAGTTTTCTATTGTATTAAGATCCGGGGATTGGGCTGGCCACTCCATAACGTCAATCTTGTTGGTCTAGAACCAAGATGTTGCACGTTTACTGGTGTGTTTGGGGTTGTTGTCTTGTTGGAACACCCATTTCAAGGGCATTTCGTCTTCAGCATAAGGCAGCATGACCTCTTCAAGTATTCTGATGTATTCAGACTGATCCATGATCCCTGGTATGCGATAAATAGGCCCAACACGGTAGTATGAGAAACATCCCCATATCATGATGCTTGCACAACCATGCTTCACTGTCTTCACAGTGTACTGTGGCTTGAATTCAGTGTTTGGGGGTCGTCTGACAAACTGTCTCCGGCCACTAGACCCAAAAAGAACAATCTTACTTTCTTTCGCCCACAAAATGTTGCGCCATTTCTCTTTAGGCCAGTCAATGTGCTCTTTGGCAAATTGTAACCTCTTCAGCAAATGTCTTTTTTTCAACAGTGGGACTTTGCGGGGGCTTCTTGCAGATAGCTTGGCTTCACATAGGCGTCTTCTAATTGTAACAGTACTCACAGGTAACTTTAGACCTTCTTTGATCTTCCTGGAGCTGATTGTTGGCTGAGTCCTTGCCATTTTGGCTGTTCTTCTATCCATTTGAATGGTAGTTTTTTGCTTTCTTCCACGTCTTTCATGTTTTGGTTGCCATTTTAAAGCATTTGCGATCATTTTAGCTGAGCAGCCTATCATTTTCTACACTTCTTTATATGTTTTCCCCTCTCCAATCAACTTTTTAATCAAGGTACGCTGTTCTTCTGAACAATGTCTGGAACGACCCATTTTCCTCAGAATTTCAGAGAGAAATGCACTGTAACCAGCATGTACAACATTTGCTGCCTTCCTTCCTTAAATAAGGGCAATAATTGCCACCTGTTTTTCAAAGAATGAATGACCTCACTAATAGAACTCCACACTGCTATTATTTTGAACATGCCCCTTTCAATTAGTGATTCAATTACACAGAATCAGCAGCATGCATGTCATGACTGTTGGGTCTGTTGGATTTCTATTACTCTACTACACCTGCTAGTAAATTATTTGCCATGTAGAAATATCATTTCTACCAAAAACAGTGATTGATCAGGTTAGTGATGTCTGACTGCTATTATTTTGAACACAACTGTGTGTATATATATATATATATATATATTTGAATAATATTGGTACCATTTAACAACTATCACGTCTATCATACTGCATAACTGGCATAGTATACTGAGGTGTATGTCGTTTCTATTAACAAATGGGATACTTCTTTATTAATGTTCTTATACGCCTGTGATTTTGCTTTTCCACTCTCTATACCATGACAGTGTTTTTAAATTATTCTGAAAGATCTCCTCGTATTTGCTACTATGTGAATAGAAATGTATGTTCAGCATCTGGTATTGTGCTGAAAGACAGAATTCTGAGGACAAGCTGAGAACAGTCATCCATATGTTATCCTTAACTTATTAATCAGCTAGACCAGCACTTGCTCATTTTCGCCTGAAAGATGTGATTTAGAATTCCTCTTATGCTTCCCCTTCCATGAGTCACTTTCCCCTGTAAATTTGTCAACCCTATTCCCTATAGGATGAGCTGTATTTCCTGTAAAGCAGAAGGCATCTCTCTCTCAGCACCAGTAAGTTAATCCATCTGATTTTCAGCATACTGAAGAGCAAGGTCAACACTGGCGGTCCAGTAGAGACATTAGGGATCTCGGAAGCTGTTATCTCAGTCTTGCAGCATTGAATTTTTACCAGGTTGCTCACCATTCCATTACACATCATGTAAAATAATTATTTGATATTATGCCTATATTCTTGGGGATTATCAGCTCAAGATTCCTCCTACAACCCAAAATAAACGGTATATTGCTTGGGAACCATCCATATTGGTAATACTGGGTATCCATGTTGTAGATATTAATTAAAAAGCTAATTTGGGATCAGGAATGGATGAAAATGGTTCATTTATTACCGTAAAGTGCTTATATTTGATGAAGTTTTTAAAGCTGCTTTGAAGATAAAAAAAATTTAAGAGAGTCCCCCTATAAATTACCTCCTATCTTCTTTTTAACAACTTGACCTCCAGAAGATTTTGGCATTTTAGCCATTTTTTGGGGGCTATTCAGCACTGCGCTACTTTAACTGGCAATTGCATGGCCATGCAACACAAATGAAATTTATATACACATGAAATAGAGATTTCTTTTGGTGGTATTTGATCACCACTGCGGTTTTTATTTTTTATTATATGATCAAAAAACAAACTGAAAAAAAATAAAACAATATTTTTTTTTACTTTCTGCTATAAAACATATCCAATTGAAAAAAAATAAAAAATAAAAATAGTTCATAAATTTAGGCCAAAATGTATTCTGCTACGTCTTTGGTTAAAAAAAAATCCCAATAAGTGTATATTATTGGTTTGTGTGAAAGTCATAGTGTCTCCAAAGACGGTATATATACTGGAATTTTTTTTTATACTAGTAATGGCAGTGATATGTGACTTATGGTAGGACTGTGATAGTGTGGCGGGCAATCTGACACTAGCTGACGCTGGCTGGGTGGGGGGTACACTAACTGACACTGATATCAATAATGACACTAATACAGTGATCAGTGCTAATTCTATACACTGTCACAGTACTAATGACACTGACTGGGAAGGGGTTAACATCTAGGGGTGATCAAGGGGTTAACTGTTTGCCTAACAATGTGTAATGTGTACCACTTTTACAAAGGGATCATGTTGTTTTTTCCCTGCTTAGGAGGGAAGAAAAAAAAACCCAGAAAGATTTCCTGTCACTATACAGAGCTCTGTGTTGTTTACAATCACAGAGCTCTGTTCCATGAATCACTGAGCCAATCAAGGATCCCGGTGACCAGTCATTGGCAGGGACCCACTGATCGGCTTGTGCTGTAATAAATCACAGCACAGCCGGGTCAACGTGCACCCTACCTGGAAGTGCTAATTATACATCAGATATGTGCTCCAACACACAGCAGCCTCAATGTAGCAGTATATCTGCCGTGGGTTGGTCGGGAAGCGGTTAAGTGGTGACACCAAACTCAGGTTTAAAAAAGAAAATTCTGTTCATGTATGTATACTCAATTCAAAAAGTCCTTTTTATTACCCTCACCCTTCTCCAAATCTCCTAATTCCTTTTTCACTTCCCTGATCCAATGTCTTGTTAAAAGGTGGCTATGTCCATTCTCCATGGTCCCCACTACATGTTGGACCATAGTCACCCTATCTTGCTTGTTCCCGAGGTGGATGATGGACTATGGGATTTGTAGTGTGCATAGGGCAGTGCACACGACTTCAACTAATGTGTACTTCTCATTCCAAACAAATGGAAGTGAGAGTAAAAAGGAGAGGTTCGGGAGCTCACAGAGAACATTAGGCAGAGGCAAAACACAGTAGGAAACAATATCATGAAAAATAGATTACAGGGCCAATATGTTGTAGATGTGTATGGATTATTTTTGGAAAATAAGGATATCATTTACAGTCACTTTAACCTGTCTGTACAAAAGGATATATATTGTGAGAGATGTGCTGGGAAAACCAGTATGGCAGTGAAAGGGTGTATTTAGAATACTGGCCTTCCTAAAAACTGGTGTAATTATGCTACTGCTGCAGTCATCCTTTATAGAAGAAGATTCCAGACACAGGTTAAACCCTGGGAAACAAAGATAGAGAGGGAGTGGAGAGAGATTGGTGGGCTTTCCTTTTCTACGGAAGGTTCAACATCCTGTTAGGACTTGTTTACATTTGGGGTTTAGGGGACTGTAAAAAGGCATGACTAAGCAGCAAGTTTACCACCCCTAACTGCGATCTTCTTCTCTTATGTTAAAAAAGTTTGCGATCAAATAATCTTACTTCATAAATTATGGCAAACATGTATTCTGCTAAATTTCTTTGGTAAAAGTAACCCAAATCAGTGTATATTAGTGTGCAGGAAAGTTACAGAGTCCACAAACTATGGTATACATACAGTATATTGCCAAAACTATTGGGCCAGCCCTCCAGATCATTGTTCCAATCACCTCCATGGCCACAGATGTATAAAATCAAGCACCTAGGCATGCAGACTGCTTCTAAAAACATTTGTGAAAGAATGGGTTGCTCTCAGGAGCTCAGTGAATTCAAGCGTGGTACAGTGATAGGTTGCCACCTGTGCAATAAGTCCATCCGTGAAATTTCCTTGCTACTAAATATTCCACGGTCAACTATTAGTGGTATTATAACAGACTGGAAGCAACTGCGTACAACAGCACCTCAGCTACCAAGTGGTAGGCCACATAAAATGACAGAGCGGGGTCAGCGCATGCTGAAGCGCACAGTGCGCAGAAGACTCCAACTGTCTGCAGAGTCAATAGCTAAACACCTCCCAAACTTTATGTGGCCTTCAGAGTAGCACAACAACAGTCCATAGAGCGCTTCATGAAATGGGTTTCCATGGCTGAGCAGTTCCATCCAAGCCTTACATCATCAAGTGCAATGCAAAGTGTCGGATGCAGTGGTGTAAAGCACGCCACCACTGGACTCTAGAGCAGTGGAGACGTGTTCTCTGGAGTGACCAATCACACTTCTCTGTCTGGCAATCCGATGGATGTGTCTGGGTTTGGCGGTTGTCAGGAGAACGGTACCTGCCTGACTGCATTGTCCCAAGTGTAAAGTTTGGTGGAGGGGGATTAAAATGTGGGGTTGTTTTCCAGAGGTTGGGCTTGGCCCCTTAGTTCCAGTAAAGGGAACTCTTAAGGTGTCAGCATACCAAGACATTTTTGACAATTTCATGCTCCCAACTTTGTGGGAAAAGTTTGGGGATGGCCCCTTCCTTTTTCAGCATGACTTTGTGAGTTTCGGGTGGAGGAATTTGACTGGGCTGTGCAGAGTCCTGACCTCAACCTCATAGAACACCTTTGAGATGAGTTAGATTGGAGTCTGTGAGCCAGACCTTCTCGTCTGACATCAGTGCCTGACTTCACAAATGCACTTCTGAAAGAATAGTAAAACCTTCCCATAGACACACTCCTAAACCTTGTGGACGGCCTTCCCAGAAGAGTTGAAGCTGTTATAGCTGCAAAGGGTGGGCCAACGCAGTATCGAACCCTATGGACTAAGACTGTGATGCCTTTAAAGTTCATGTGCGTGTAAAGGCAGGCCGACCAATACTTTTGGCAATATAGTGTGTCTGAAAATCGATAAATCTTGATGTTCTTGAGGCCCGAAAATGTTGGGACAGTACAAATATCCCCAAAATAACCCCTTTTTGGAAAGCAGACAGTCTGATGTATTTAGTAAGAGGCATGGCGAGTTTTTCGAAGTTATAATTTTTTTGTCACAATCGTTTGGAAAATGAAGAATGTTTTTTCACATCTTTTTTTACATACTGTCACCAGCGCAGTACAGCATCATCATATGACTGGTGTGGAGGTGATCAGGGTCACTGGCTGGTGACAGTATGTCAATAAAGAATAATAACAACAACAACAAAAAAATTAAAAAAAAAAACATTTAAAAAATATTCTAATCATTTTTTTTAATTTTTTTTTTTAGCTCCTCCTGACTACACCCCACTGATATGTTTTGCCCTGCCTATGGGGCCTAACCCTAGAGATGATAGAGCACCTAACCAGTAATCCAGTTACTATAATGGAGGAATTTCATTCTCTCCTGCCCTTATTATACAAAACTTCATCTACCTTTAGCTCAGGATCCTGAGGAAGCCACGTAATGATCGTGGTGTAACGCTTAGAGCGTGCGCGTGGTGACGTACTTCCGGTAGAGAGCGGAGACGCACTTCCGGTTACTGTTTGACGCCATCTTGGTACACCCGAATCCCCTAGTACACCCATAGCACATGGGAACTGCTGTACTGTAAAGGAATACATGTGAGTGTCCATTTTTTTTTGGCGTTTTTGAGTCATAAAACGTTATTATACTATGGAGGTCTCTTCTGTTTGCTCCTTTATACATGCCTGAGTCCGATTGTGTGGAAGGGTATCTTGAGGTACGCTGGTCTTGGAGTGGAGTTCTATTGGAACCAGAGGAGCCAGTGGAGCCAGATTGTGAGACACCTTCTGGTGTGGGATAATAAAAAGTGTTGTGGCCCTGAGGGGTCGATGCTAGAAGGTGAGGAAGCACTCTAGCCACTTTGGGATAAGTTACACTAGAGTGTCACCGAGAGCACAAATCAAGTGTGTAATGAAGATTGAAGCACTTTGTGTTGGATTAAGCACAGTAGTTATTTGCACAGAACTTTATTTTTAGAGGATTGCATTGTATTAATTTGTTTATATTGCATTTGTGCACATATCACTTTATATTCTAAGTGTGGTTATCACTCTTATTTACACTACACAAACCTGGTGGGCTTGAATTGGTTGGCAGACCAGGTATTTGTTTGTACACAGTTGATTGTAAGTTTGCCATTTGAGCATGGGTCACTTTATATATCATTTGTTGGAGTCTCACGGCCCTTTACTTATTTATGATATTATCACTTCATATTATTTTATATATTTATTTATAATATGATTAATTTTTTTATTGCACATATTATGAATGTGGATTTTGGTTTTTAAACACTTTGCACCATTCATTTATTTTTTCCTATGTATTTATCACGCTGTGGTATTACATTTGCTTAGCGCTTCACCATTTATTGGTTAATTCTGTCATATCCTGAGGTATAAGGAATAGGTGATAGCAGCTGGCACGTCCAATAGAGGTCCGTATAGTTGAGCGCAGGAGGATTTCCCCATTTTTGAATAATTCATACAGAATCCTTAGTTGGTAATGACAGCTTCAAGACGCCTCCTGTATTGAGAAACCAATCACATGCACTGCTCGGGTTTGATTTTAGCCCATTCTTCCACACAAACAGCCTTCAAATCTTGAAGGTTCCGTGGGCCTCTTCTATGAACTCTGATCTATAGTTCTTTCCATAGATTTTCTATTGGATTCAAGTAAGGTGATTGGCTGGGCCATTCTAGCACTTTATTTTCTTTCTTTGAAACCAGTTGAGAGTTTCCTTGGCTGTGTGTTTGGGATCATTGTCTTGCTGAAATGTCTATCCTCCTTTCATCTCATCATCCTGGTAGATTGCAGCAGATTTTTATCAAGAATGTCTAAGTACATTTTTCCATTCATCCTTCCTTCAACAATGTGAAGTTTGCCAGTACCGTATGCTGAAAAACAGCCCTACACCATGATGTTCCCACCTCCAAACTTCACTGTTGTTTGGTGTTTTTCTGGAGATGTGCAGTGCCATTTGACCTCCAAACATGGTGTGTATTATGGTATCCAAAGAGTTCAGTTTTGGTCTCATCTGACCAGACTATATTTTTCCAGTATTTCACTGGCTTGTCTAAATATTGTGCAGCAAACTTTAAACGAGTTTCAACATGCTTTTTTCTTCAGCAATGGAGTCTTCCGTGGTGAGCTTGCATACAGGCCATTGCGGTTCAGTGCATTACTTATTGTTTTCTTTCAAACAATTGTACCTGCTGATTTCAGGTCTTTCTGAAGCTCTCCACAAGTGGTCCTTGGCTCTTGGACAACTCTTTTGATGATTTTCACTCCTCTGTCAGAAATCGTGCAAGGAGCATCTGGTCATGGCTGGATTATGGTGAAATGACATTCTTTCCACTTCCGGATTATGGCCACAACAGTTCTCACTGGAACATTCAGAAGTTTATACATCCTTCTGTATATGAAATGAAAAAATACAGCAACAATATCTAAATAAATATAATGGTGCTTACACTCTAATACATGCATGTATAGTGAAAACAACCTGCTGTGCTTGTGAAGATCAATATATGCAATTCAACATGTCTCCAATGTATACATATAAACACCCATAGAGACTGCACATAAACAGTGCTATAAATAAATAGTGCACACAAATACAAAACAAACAATCCTAAAATGGTGATCTGTCCCTTTAAATCCTGAATACCATCACTTGGACCTGTGTGGTACACTTCCTGTGTATCGTGATCCGAATACACCAACAAAAAGTGTCAACTGAATATAGTCGCAATAATGGTGGACTGTCCCTTTAAATCCACTGTACTTCAAGTGAAGCAGTGTAAATACACTACTGCACAAATGTGTACGGTGCTCCTGTGTCACCCCCTTAGTGCTCTTCTACCTCCAACACTCTATTGTGCTCACCTCCAAGTTTGACCCATAATGACAGGTGAAAGTGCGCTTTTCCCTTTAACCCAGGAGGGTATAATGGTACACAGATCTTCACCACCATTTGCCAGCACTTTTAAGCAGATCCAAATCGATTAAAATGTGTCCTCCTGGGACACTACAGTATTAAAAACTCACTATACAGTGTTTTCTGCCAAGTGTATACAGAAATCCCTCTTCCAAAATGGAAGTGCATGTGCACTTCCGGTTAATGGCCTGACGTCATCAGCGTACCCTACGTGTTATGTCACATCGCGTGACTTCATCAGGAGTACAATTTTTTTAGGATATTTTATGTAATGAAGGTTTTCTATACACAAATCCTTCTGTATGCCATCAATATGTGTTGCAACAATAAGGCTGTGAAGGTCTTGAGAGCTCTTTGCTTTTACCCATCATGAGATGTTTCTAGTGTGACACCTTGGTAATGAGACACCTTTTTATAGGCCATTAGTTGAGACTGAACCAGCTGATATTAATTTGCACTGACAAGGGCCGGGATTGCCCTTCTATGAAACTATAAAATTGCCATTACATTTTGCCACGATTTGCCAAGAATGCCCAGTACGCTAATAGCATCAAAAATGTATATCATACGATTCATTATTGTCAATTTCCTCGAAATTGTATTTTTCAAAGGCTCTTTTTTGTAGTAAAGGCTTGGTTTACAAATCTATCTCTAAGCATTCCAAGGCAAAGCTAGTATGGGTTTCAGTTACAGAGACACCGTTTCATATAAATCAAGCTTGTTTTCATCTCTGCTCCATTTCTTAAATTATCTCTGCTGTCTATTAGTGCTTAGTGTCTGTCTGTGTCATGCATTCTCAGATTACTGATACTATTTTTGTGGGGAGAATTATTTCTACCCAAACTGTAATTGTAAAGAAAGTGCATGCTGCTTCCCAAACATCTGCTGTTGCTCTTATGACTCACAACTGGTTTTCTCAATGCTACATCAAGGTATGTGAGTCCTCCATTCTCTTTCTATATACAATTTTCCCTAATACAAGTAAATGTATTTTTTATATTCTACTGTAGGGTTTATTGATAGAATGTAACACTCTTTTAAGGAGGGTGGCTTCTTTCCTTGCATGTGTATTCTGCTCTCCATATGTCAGTTGCTGCTTTTACCATAAGAGATGATCATTAATAAATGAACAACCTTCAGTGCTCATACAGGAGATGGAAATAACAATTACAAATAAAATAAATAATATGTAAACCACCTGTGCTACCCAGGCTACACCTATAACCTAAGATAGGGAAGCTACTGTCACCTGGCTATACACCTGGATAGAATAGCAAAGAAAGAGAGAAAAATGGTGTTGCGCTCCCACACAAAA